GTTAAACTCAAAGCTGGCAGAAGGAAGGAACTAATAAAGATTAGAGCAGAGATAAATGAAATAGAGAATAGAAAAACAATAGAATCAATGAAACCAAAAGTTGATTCTTTGAAAACATCAACAAAATGGATAAACTTTTAGCTAGACTGACTAAGAAAAACAGAGAGAAGATGCAAATGCTAAAATCAGATTGAAAGTAAGGTCATTACTGCAGACCTTACAGAAATAAAAAGGATTATAAGAGAATACTGTGAACAACTGTATGCCAACAAATTAGATAACCTAAATGAAATGGACACATTCCTAGACAAACACATACTACCAAAACCAACTCAGGAAGAAATAGGAAAATTTGAACAGACCTGTAACAAGAGATTGAATCAGTAATCAAAAACCTTCCCCCTAAAAAAAGTCTAGGACCAGAAGCCTTCACTGGTGAGTTCTACCAAACATTTAAAGAAGAATTAACACCAATGCTTCTCAAACTCCTCCAAAAACTGAAAGAGGAGGAAGCACTTCCTAACTCATTCTATGACACTGGCATTACCCTGATACCAAAGCCAGACAAAACCAACCCAGGAAAGAGAAACTTGAGATCCATATCCCTTATGAACATAGATGAAAAAAATCCTCAACAAAATACTAGCAAACCTAACCCAGCAGCACAGTGAGAGGATTATACATCATGAGCAAATGGGATTTAAAAACCAGACTGCAAGGGTGGTTCCGCACATGAAAATCAGTGAATGCACTATACCATGTTACCAGAATGAAAGGGACAAATATATGACTTGTCTACAATGGGTACATTTACGTGTAAACAAGCTATTTGGGGATTAAGAGGGCAGGGTGTTTTCACAGATGTCAAGGTCGCCCAAAATATTTCTCTTTTCAACTAAATATGATCAGAAAAGCTGTATTTTGCATGAAGGGGAATTATACTGAAGTTCTATTAAGACAATTTTGACCTCAGCCTTTTCAGTTGAAACCCATATGATAGTTTCCCTCCTTCCCTCCCTCTCTCCCTTTCTTCCTTTCTTCCTGTATATCGTTCTGTCTTAAACAGAGTATGTATTTGGCTTTCTCCTGGGGAAGGAAGAAGAGGAAGCATCAACTTTATGTTCCTCCAATTGGATTATAGTCTGTAAATTAATCCTTTCCACAGGAAGGTGTTCCCAAATTACTCCAGTTACCTTGGAGGAAGCAGGCTAATTTATCTCCCTATTATGGATACTTACCTGGCTGCCATACCCTGAATCTAATAAACAGAAATTAACCTTGAGGGAAGCTGTAAGCAGATTTTTGCTCAAGACTCCAATGATAAGTCTAAACAGTACAGATGGGAAGTAGGGGCCGGGGACCACACTCATCTCTCCCCTCGACCACTTCTTAAGCCTTCAAGGAATTCATCTTGCTTCTTCCCTAGGCCTCCAGAGGGGTCCCACACGTACACTCCTCTTCCCAACATGATTTTTTGCCTGTACTTGATCCCTTCCTTATTTTAACTCCTTTTCTCATTCTGAAGTCTCTGGCCTCAGTTCCTAGGGTACAGTGCTCCTCCCAAAGAAATCAATCAGTTGGAAGTCAGATTGTTAGTGCTAACATTGGGCTTTGTTAGTATTTGGGATTGTTAGTGCTAAAAATAGGGCTACAATTAGCACAATGATAAGTATTAGAACTGAGGAGTTTGGGGTCATAGTTTTATTACACAGATTTATTAATAAATAATTTGGTGACATCTGCAATTTTTTATAACAATCCATATAGAACTATAATATATATATATTTTTAATTGAATGTAACCTAATTTTTTTTGTTTCTTTAAGTATATTTCTTGTGATTTTCAGTCCTGGCATACTCTGTAAGTATAAATCTTTCTATCCTCTGCCTGACTTCTGTTGCTGATTTGCCATAGAATTGAGGAGGTTAAGGATATAAGGTGTTTTCTATTACAGAAAGGATTTTGCTTTATCTAAAAATGAAAGACAAAACCCCAGAAACATTGCTAATTAAGAGGTTTAATTCCTCCTAAAAACTCTCAGGGAGTCTACATAAAAGCGTTATACTCTGAACTCATCTTTAAGTTGATGTAAATACAGATAGGTACAGAAACAACTATAGGTATGTGTATATACATGGGTTAGTATATGTAGATGTGTTACCTAGCTCTGTCAGCTGAGAGGGTGATAACACAATGACACCCCAGTGGCAAGAACCACACCTAGCACCCAGGTCTTGGTTTCTAAATACCATTTCTCAATACAAGGAACCAGGGGACATTACGCAAAATTTGTGAAGAAGTCTTCCTCTTTAAAACTTGTCTTTCATTACATCTTAGAATGTTTTGGCCTTTCTTACTTTTAGCTATATGTTTTTCATGTGATTTACTCCTTTACAATCAGCTTTGTAATTTTTTTTAAAAAATTACTTCGTACTGTTTGAAAAGTAATACATTTTCATTCTGACCATTAAAAAAAGAAATATAAAGGGGCTGGCCCCGTGGCCGAGCGGTTAAGTTCGTGCGCTCCGCTGCAGGCGGCCCAGTGTTTCGTTAGTTTGAATCCTGGGCGCGGACATGGCACTGCTCATCAGACCACGCTGAGGCAGCGTCCCACATGCCACAACTAGAAGAACCCACAACGAAGAATACACAACTATGTACCGGGGGGCTTTGGGGAGAAAAAGGAAAAAATAAAATCTTTAAAAAAAAAAAAAGAAATATAAAGAAAAAAACCCAAAAATCTCTCAATGGGTTTCTTAATTTTGAATATTGATCAAAAGACCTGAAATCTTTCACTTATTTAAAACATTCCTATGATAAATACATTGGTAGGCAAAAATGAGTCATTGATATTTATTAATCTTTGAATGTTTTTGTAGGACCTTTTTATATTCTCTATTAGTTTTCTAAAGCTGCATAACAAATTACCGCAAATTTAGTAGCTTAAAACAACACATCTATCATCTAACATTTTCTGTGGGTCTGGGGTCCAGGGACAACTCAGCTGGGTCTTCTACTCAGGGTCTCACAAAGCTGCAGCCAAGATGTTGGCCAGGCTATGTTTTCATCTGGAGGCTTGATTGGGGACATCTGCTTCCAAGCTCATTATTGGCAGATTCATTTCCTTGCAGTTGCAGGACTGAGGGCCCCGTGTTTTTGCTCGTTGTTAGCTAATGGCCGCCCACAAGTCCTAGAGGCCATCACTAGTTCCCTGCTATGTGACCCTCTCCATGGGCAGTTTGTATGGCCATCTGCTTCCTCAAGGCAGGCAGGAGAGCTCCAGTGTGCTAAGCTGGACTCAGATAAGGTAATGTAATCACAGGAGTGGTGACATCTCATCACTTTTACTATATTCTTCTGGTTAGAAGTAAGTCACAAGTCCTACCTGCACTAAGGGGAAGGGATTATACAAAGGCATGAACACCCCAATAGTTCACTGGGGGTCATGTTAGGGTCTGAGCTCTCATTTCCCCATCTAAATTGGAAGTAATAGTTTTTGTCTTAAGGAACATTGTGAATGTTCTTCTAACAGAAAAGAAACTTGGACATCTTCCATCTCAACCACCTTATTTTATAGAAAGGAATTGAAACTAAGAAAGAGTAAATGATTTCTCTAAGTTTGGCAGATGGAGTTCAGAGTTGTATACTCCCAGGTTAGCCCACTTTCTACACACCGTGATGCCTATGAGGTAACTGATTTTATTTTATGGTATTTTCACTTTAAATTTAAGCAAAATGAAATATACATTTATTGGTAGGCAGGGCAGAAGACAGGGCCAGGCATTATAAAGAAAGTCGCATGTAAATTGTCAAGGATGGCAACCCCCATGTGCATTTGTGTTCTGAGTGTGCTCAAGTACAAGAGCCAGTGACTGAAAGAGAATTACTCACCTTGAGGGGAGGCTAGCACATACATTATTTCAGTTAGTCACTACCAACAACTCTATAAAGTCAAAATTATTCTACGGATGAAAAAAAACAGGCTCAGTGAAGGTAACAGTTATTCTGGGTACTGGCAACCATCAAGTTGCAGTAAACAAATCAAAGCCTTGCTCACTTCCAGCCCATCCCATTTCCCTATCACTAATTTACATCATTAATTTACAGTCTTGTGAAATTTTTCATAGTCTATACAGCCCTTACCTTTTTCCTTTCGACTAAGTCTTGCTACTCTTGGGGCTTCTTGGTGGGATGAGCTCATGATAACATTGTTAAATCTTCTAACCCTTTTAGATGCCTATAAGTATCTCCTGGCTTTAGTCATGTTGCCATAAATAAGCCTAGGAGAACCTACTTCATAAATGGTTTCTTGGCCGTATACTAGGTGACTGTGAATTTCCGTGAGTCTGTTAAGTTCAAGACATTAGTGAACCAAAAACAGGTTTTTAAAATTTTTGAATCCCAGTTCCTACTCTTGATCTTCTCATTTATTTTCGGGATCCACTTCTCATTTAAGGCATACTTAGCTACTAAAAAGATTTACAGAAATTTAAAGTACGAATGTCTCCACTATTGAATGTTTATAGAATACATTTTCTCTTCTGATAGTCTTTGGGGCAACACATCTTCCTGGGTGAATGTAGGATTTTTCACTAGGTAGTGCATTCTCCTAACATATCTTGGGCATTAACTCCTCAAATGTTTAAAACCCAAACTGCTAGTTTACAGGAAGGATTAACTGAGACCCGCCGCTGTGCGGAATCGTTCAAGGTCACTGGGGCAGGTGCCCACCCCAGGACCTGAAGGTGGGCTGCCAGGCCCATTTCCTTCTCCGAAGTCGACGCCGGCTCTCTCCCCACTCTCGGGGTTCACTCGGACTGGCTGTGACCTGGCTTGGAGACCCCCGTCCGCCCTCCCGGCGGCCGGCCTTGGAACGGCGCCTCTGGAACGTTCCTGAGCGGCGGGAGGTGGGAGCGGCTCGGGGGAAGCGGGGCGGAGCCGGCGGCGACCGGCGGCCGAGCCACGCCTCCCCGGGCCGCTCGGGGGCGCCCGTCGGCGGAAGCCACGCTCTGCGGGCCGGGAGGGGCTCTGAGCTGTGGTGGCCGCTACGCCGCGCCCGCTTGCGCTTGCTTTCGCCGGCTCGCCGGCTGGCTGGCCCCGCGCCGCAGGACCTGCGCTTCGCTTCCCCTGGCCATGCAGCGCCTGGCCATGGACCTGCGGGTGCTCTCCCGGGAGCTCTTCTTCTACCTGGAGCATCAAGTCCGGGTTGGGTTCTTCGGCTCGAGAGTGGGCTTATCCCTGATTCTGGGCTTCAGCGCCGCTTATGCCTGCTACTACCTGAGCAGCATTGCCAAGGTGAGCTAGGGTGGCGCGAGCGCCAGGCAACGGGCCGCGGGCGGTGTTGCCGGGAGTGACAGCATCGGGCGAAGCCGGAGGCTGCCTCTGGTGGGGGCAGGTAGCTGGGGCCGTCCTGGGACGAGCACGCTGCTCCCTAGTTATTGCCCTTTCCCCGGCTTCTGGCGGACGCCCCTGGAGCGCTCGCGGGAAAGCCGGCCGGCCCCCGCCGCCTGCCTGCGCATCCGGACCCGCTGACCTCGGCGCGGGCGGCGCTGCCCGCCGCCGTTCGCTAGCCCGGCAGAACGGCTCGGCAGTGCTGTAGCACTTTTGAGAATTATTGCCTTATTCCAACTCGCGCCTTTCCCTGGACGTTTGATAAACCACTTTTTAAGTCCGTTGTGACTGTGAATTATTTGCGCCGGGCTTCCAGAAGGAGATGTAATCGGAGGGCTCGCGCGCGCGAGGGACGAGGCTGCTCATTTCTAGTTTACGGTTGGCAGAAACTTTGTTCTTGATCCTTCACTGATGCTGGCTTTCCCCACAGAAGCCCCAATTAGTGACGGGGGGTGAGAGTTTCAGCCGCTTCCTTCAGGACCACTGCCCGGTGGTGACAGAAACGTACTACCCGACGGTCTGGTGCTGGGAGAGTCGAGGACAGACGCTGCTGAGACCCTTCATCACGTCCAAGCCCCTGGTGCAGTACAGGAAGTAAGTAAATTTCCGTTTTCGGGCATTTCTTCAAAAACATAGTTTTTTGCATACTCTCAGTTCTTTGTTAATAGAACCTCTGGTTTAGTAAGTATGTGGAAAACAAAGGGAGTGTGAAAATGGAACGTATGTCCCTCACCCTCAGCTGCAGGAAAATATTCAGGTATGGCCTTTCACCATTTTTGCGGGGGGGGGGGGGCACTGTGATGTAAATGGTTTATTTCTAGGATGAGAGAAGTGTTTGGGGGTTACTCTTTTCCAATTTGTCCTGCGTCTATCCCTGAGGACCTAGATCCTTCAATGATATGCACCAATTCATTGATGCTGGGATTAGGGCTGGAGGAGAGAAGGCTAATTAATTTGGATTTTGTGTGATGGACTCGTGTAAAGCGCTTCATTTTGATAAGCAAATGGGTTTTTGATGATAATGTCCTTGAGGTGTTAGAGATAGGGTCCAGAATATATCAGTAGCCAGGAGATTTAAATGGTGCCTGTTATTAATTTCCCTGAGTCATCTAGTCCTTCTGGAGTTCCTTTTGTTGACTGAGACTTCAGTTCAGAGATACTACGTGAGAAGTACTTTGAGATATTCAAGAAGCAAATTTTGTAATATACTTTGTCAAAAGACAGCCTCATTGAGTCAGAGATCTGGAGCAATGATCGGATCAGCATTTTACTTGTTCGTAATTCCCTATTGAATTATTTGGGTGACCTCAATCAAATAGAGGTTAAATGTTGGATATTTTGGAATAATGAGGAAATGATTAAGATAAATATTTGAAGTACTTTGAAGTTCATTTTTATATACTGACTTTTACTGATGTTGCTGGGGATACTTTATGGTACTAATTTCATAACATTCTTGTAATGAAAGAAAATGATATAGGTGTATGTGTTAGTGAATGCTGAAAAAAGTTATTTTGAGATGACCAAATAATGTCATTTATTTATAGAATTAAGACACTAGTATTAAGACAACTTGAAACACTTAATGATATGTCTTGAATTATTTATTTCAGTGAACTTATTAAAACTGCAGATGGAGGACAGATTTTGCTGGACTGGTTTGATAATGATAACAGTAAGTGTTTTATGGATGCCAGCATCAGACCGACTATCTTATTGTTGCCCGGCCTCACTGGAACAAGCAAAGAATCATATATCCTTCATATGATCCAACTTAGTGAAGAATTGGGATACAGGTACCCGTCAAAGATTCTTTCCGTTTTTTCACTTAATTTGTTCTAAGTGAAGCGCAAATATATCTCGATGTGTGTGTCAGAAATACTTATTTCTTGCCTGAATTAAGCCATCCTCTAAATTATTATGTTTTCTGCTTTCTCTCTTTTTTCAGGGAAATGCATAACTGAATCATCTCACAGAAAATAGCACTTAGCGTAGTAGGCACTCAACAGATTTTGGTTGAATGAATGAATGGAATTGGAATCACCTAGGAATTGACATAGGAACCAGGTGTGAGAAGCACTAGGCCCTACTGAAGGGAGTGCTATGGAAAATAGCAATTACAAACCCCTGAGACAGTGGCCCTCATGTCACATTCCTTGTTTGGGCCCTGGATCCACTAATCTTGTCTCATTGACTCAGATCCCAAGTGTAAAAAATATTCAGAATCAGTTTGTAGGTCATGCTTATTTTTCCAAGGTGACTCATGCCTGTTTTGTCCTCCTGAGTTTGCAGGTGCACATGGTTAGTGTCCCGTTGATGATGCCACAGCATTTTTGAGTAACCATTATTCAACTCGGTCACCAGGTACAACTTAATGTTTTGCAAGTGACTTAGCAACTTTAAGTTTCAGGTTCAGCTCTAAAATCTTAAAGCAGTGTCATTGTTACTGCTTTTCTGTGCCTCAGTTTTTTTAGCTGATAGTAATAATAATGGAACACTCTGAGTTGCATTTGAAGTGAGCTGTATTCTTGTTAAACTGGAAACACTTGTTTGTGTGAAAAATTAATGTTGAGTTTATATTAATAAAAACATTTTGATATAAAGGGGAAAATGCCATAATAGCTCATTCAATTTTAAGAAGTAAGCTCTGATCTTTTACAGAAAAAGCTTATTTTGTCCATGAAGTGACAGGCTCTCAGAAGCTTTGATATGGCGTCCCAGAATTATGATTCCAATGAAATTTACACTAAGCAATAGCAGGAATTCATTGTTATTCCATGTTTAACTACCATCCTGTTAGATATGAGGCTTGATTCCTATTTTTTGCTAAAACTTAGTCATGCTCAAAAAGTACAGATCATAAAGCCTTTTGTACCTATCTAAATTGCTGATTCTGTGGTTGGCCTGAGCTGTCTCCCAAGACTTAGAAAGTGCTTTTTAAAAACAATGAAGTTGAAACACAAGGACTAAATCTTATAAGCCTTGGATTTGCTAGCACATATGACTTCCTTTCATGACTTGTGTAAGTTGCCGAACTGTATTACCAGGGCTATCAATACAATGTGCTTCAAAGCTACTGGAAAGTTCTAGCTTCCCTAAGAATTAAAATCTATTGATTCCAAAATTTTATTGAGAATGTATGATATAAGGAAGGCTTTGTGATAGGTACTATGAAGACGTACAAAGAGTCATGGGCATTTGTCTGTGCCTCAAGGAGTCTATGAGAGGGGAAGGCTGGACAAGTCACTGGTAGCTGCTTGAAGACCCAGCTTATTTGGGTTTAGGGAACTCTAACACTAAATCAGATTGGGCTTGAAGGTAACAGAATGCATGAATAAGCAATGGTCAATAAACTTCTCAATGGTCTTTGGGCCTATCAGCATTTATTTTTAACGGCAAGGAATCTCTGAATCTAGGTAAGAGAGGGTGTATCAGTTAGCTTTTGCTGTATAACAAACTATCCCAAAACTTAGTGGCTAAAAACAACCATTTTGTTCATGATTCCATAGGTCAGCAATTTGGGCTGAGCTCAGCTGGGTGGTCCTTCTGATCTGGTCGGGGATCATTCATGCATTTGTGATCAGCAGCCAGAACAACTCCATGCTTTAGGGGCCCTCAGCAGGGATGACTCATCTCAGCTCCACGTGGTCTCTCATCCACCATCGGGCTCGCCCCAAGCGTGTTCGTTTGGTGGCAGAGAGTTCTAAGAGCGCACAAGTGAAAGCTGCAAGGCTTCTTGAGGCCCAAGCTGAGAACTGTCACAGTGTTGTTTCTGCTGCATTCCAATCAGAGCGAGTCACATTCTAGTGAAAACAAGTTACGTGGTCAGCCCAGGAACAAAAGGTTGGGAAATAGACTCTACTTCTTGATGGGAAGAGATATAAAATAATTTTTTGCAATCTGCTACAGACAGCCGGGTACTTTCACAGGCCACTGAGGTAAAAAATGGATCTGGAATTTTGGCACAAGGCTGGTTTGAGTCCTTAGGTCACAAAACAGATCAAGTTGCTGATACTGTAGTATGGGATCTAGTAGGTAGTAGAGCTTGTGGAAGGCTATGTAATATGGGGAATGTGCGTGGGCTTTGGAGCCAGGCCTGGGTTCACATGTTGGAACTGCCACTTACCGAGTGACCCTGGGAAATTAATTTTTAACTTCCCCAATCACAGTTTCTTATTCACTGCAGACAGTTTAAATGAATTAGAATGGATAAAGTGCTTGGTTTAGTGCCCTGAACGAAGTGGGTCTTTAGAAATGTTTATGTCTTCCTTCCCGGATTTTCTGTTCCCTGATCAAACAGAACATTTTTTATAGTTTAAAGAGCAGGTACAAGCAAAGCTACCTCTTGGGGACTGTAAACATCTAGCTTCCTTCCAGGAGCGCTTGGATACTTTTGTGATCTCTTGTACAATAGCTTCACAGTCAGCATGAACACCCCAGTATCATGGGCGCACTTGCCTGCAGGCCCCACTTCCTATCTTGTGTAAAGGTTGAGTGTTGAGGGAGAGTCATGCATTCTGTCAGGTCATCAGGGAGCTGTTGATGCTTTACTGGTGAGAAATGATTTGGACATTAGAGAGAACCTAACTTCTGGCATGTGGACAAATGAAACACAAGGGTCTACAGTTGTTGCTATTAAGTTTTTTTTCCTGTACCTGAATACTAACAAAGAGACAAAACTTTTCTGTTAAGAGTTATTAATTCAAAATTAATAATAGATGAGATGGAAACTAAGCTAAAGGTTGTATAAGGTAATTATGAGCAAAGGTTTTACTGAGAAGTCAAAGGTAAATAGAATTGAATGGGCAGTACTTGGCCCGCCTGTATGTTGTTCGCCTGCATTGGCAGAGCGCCAGTGTGTACTCCCTGGATAAACTTCCTCCTGAGAGAAGAGAATTGCTAAGCCAGGCAGTCCCAGTCATTCTTCCAGATTTTAGCGTTCTTCCAAATTTTATCAATCAGATAAGTTCTCCATCTTCTGGAGAGCGAGTAAAGTGAGAAAGGCCAGGAGTGTGTTTAAAGAGAAGCCTTTATAGAAACCAGAGGACTAGAGAAATAGTCGTTTCCTCTAATAAGTTACACCCATGTGACTGATACATCAGTTAGAAATCTTACCCATTCATTCAAGATTTCTTTTTAAAAAAATCTCTATTCAGTAACACAACCTAATAGATATTATCTTCCGCACCTGAATAATATCCTGTTTTCTTAAATGTTTTCCCCAGTCTCTGAATTAATTTCCAGCACTACAACTAAAAGCAAGGAGAAAAGCAGTGACTCTGAGACCATCCAAATCATCTTTTACTTTGACGTCTTTTGTTGAAAGCCTTCATCTACCATTTTATTCTACCCTCAATTAATGCGAAAAAGAGTGACCCATCCAGAAATATGTAATAAGTTCATTGAAATTTAGGTCCGTCATTAAGTATTTTGGTACTGTACAGTATCAGAACCTATACTCCCAAAGAGCGTATGGTCTAGTTGAAGTGACAGAGTATGCAGTAGTAGTGAAGAAAGGCATTAGAAGACCAAGATTGGCTGCAAGTGACAGAAAATTCAAAGTAACAGTGACTTAAACAAGATACAAGTTTCTTTCTCCTGTAACAATGCAAGAAGGTGGACAGGGGCTTGTGTAGTGTTCTGTAGCGTCAGGAAACTAAGTTTCTGTTATCATGTTACTTCATAATCCGTGGCTGCTTCAGCTTCAGTCATCACATCTGCATTCCAACACCCAAGAAGGGGAAAAACGGAGACTAGAGAACACGTCAACTTTCATTAAGGATGCTTTCCAGCACTTGTGCACACCACTTTTACTTGTATCACTTTGGCCTGCTGTTTCTTAGCTGCAAAGGAGGCTTGAAAGTGAATTCTTTATTTTGGGCAGCCATGTACCCAATTGAAATTGGAGGCTTCTGTTACCAAGAAAGAAGAGGAGAAAGGATACTGGGAGATAGGGGGCTGGCCCTGTGGTGTAGAGGTTAAATCCAACATGCTCTGCTTTGGTGGCCTGGGTTTGCAAGTTCGAATCCCGGGCACAGACTTAGACCACTGTCAAGCCATGCTTTGGTGGCAACCCACGTAGAAAATAGAGGAATATTGACATAGATGTTAGCTCAGGGATAATCTTCCTCAAGCAAAAAAAGAGGAAGATTGGCAATAGATGTTAGCTCAGAGTGAATTTTCCTCACCCAAAACAAAAAAGATACTGGGAGATAACTGGCTGCCTCTGACGTTGAGTGGTCAGAGTGTTACAAGTGCCAGGATTCTGGAATATCAGAAAAACCAAATAAGACATTTTATGGAGGGAAGGAATAGGTCACCAGTGTCAGATGACACTGAAAGGGCAAGGAGAACAGGACAGATAAAGCAAAATTTGAGAAGAGTCAGTGTAGCAACGAGGGATGCTGGGGGTTAAGACGACCTCAGGAGACAAGAGCAGGAGGGGATCACACATTTGACTACTTTTAAATGTTCCTTTGCTTTCCAGTTTGGAGATTGTGCCTTCACGTTTTTGATTTAGGGGAAGTGGCACCAGCAGATACTAAGCTCTAGGTGACTTTCAGCTTTTCCTGCACCATTAGAAGTGCTTTGGCAGGTCCTCAACAGACCCTTCCTGAGGGAGGAAGGAAGGAGAGGCTGCTCTAGGGAAAATGAGGCAGTGAAACAAAAAGGCACTTCTGCCTACTCCCCAATCTAAAAACAGTAGCTTAGGTAAGAAGTCATTTTAAATTAACACCAGAATATTTTTATCTAAAAGTATTTTTATCATTTTTTTGTTGTTAAAATAATTTGCTTT